AATTCAAATTGATGTCTGATTCTTTTGAATATAGAAGACTTTTCTAAAGAAAAATTGTATGAAAGCATAGTTTGGACATTTTTATAGCAATACAAAATTACCAATTAATCACCTTTAGCATGACAATTACAATAAAATTTGTATATACATTGTTAGACTGCTTTTTCATAATAGCCCTTGATACACAAAATTGGAAATTTTTTAACAATGCCTTCAACAGAATCTTGGTTAAATGAATTTAAATTTCTTAATTTCCTTAAAATACGTTTAATTTCATGGTATTTGTATGTATATGACATATATAGATTCTAATATTCAAATATAACAGTAGGATTTGGCAACTCTGGAAATGAAATAATAACATGGGAAATTTGCCCTACTATGAGATTTGATTCTGTGAGTAAAGCAATAACAGAAATATTAGACCTACTATAAGATTTGTCTCTGTGAGTAAATCGATGACAGGGAAAGGTGGCCTTAATATAAATTACCTTTTTCTGCCTGGTAATATCAATGCCGCTCTTACTCATAAACTATCAGACAATAAAAATGAATCTTAAAAATATACATGTAACATAACTGATTTAAAAATTGTTGGATGTATAAATCTTGTTCATTTGAAATTAAAGTTGTTTAATGTTAACTTTTCATATTATCGTACGGCATGTACAGGGGAATGCATATGTTCAGATTCTTTTTCTGTATGACATAAAAATCAAGCCAGTTACATCTTTTTGGGCTCTTGGTGTACGCTAGTCAGCAAACTTAACCTCTGTAAATATGAAATTTGGGTAGCTTCCCTTTCGTGCGACTCAAAGAAGGAGTGCATGATCTGTTTTCATCTGCCCGTACAAAAACAGGGAATGCATTTCCATGTAAACTAATACTTTTATCACAACGTTAAACTTGTTTTATAGAGGACATATTCTAGATTAAGATTTTAAACTAATAAAATTAACAGGACCGAAATTCAAGATTAATATGCTTACAGTTATTTCGAAACATGTTATTTTACAGTCTATTAGCATTGTGGTATGGAGATTAGATATATTTGTACCATGGAAAGGATAATTGTTTCTTGTTGCCATTAAACTTCACAATTCTGAAGTCTCTAAAATAGCAAGTTTTTCTAACAAAATATTATAAATCTTGATTTTTACTTCAAATGTATTTAATATGTAAAAGTCTAAGATTTTGTTTTAAATTTTTGCAAACACAATCTAAAAATCATCTTAATAGACTTTAGATACAGAGATGTCTCTTATTACCTTTAAAGTTAAATTCAAATGTTGAAATTGAAATAGCAGTAGTTTAACATTTAAAATATATCCAAAATATTCAAAGTCAATTAACCATGATTGAAGATATAGGGCCAAATAATTTCCCTATGAATAAGATACGCAAATTATCATTGACTGATCGTAAGTGGTTCCAAGTAAACTGACATAATCACAATATTTAACATGTAAATAATGCACAAATTTCAAACTAAATAGAACCTGGCAGAGGAGCTGGGCCAAATAATTTCCCTCGAAATGATATGTGCCAATGATTATACAACTGCATACCAAATATCATTGATTTATCTTCTGGTTCCCTATAAATTGACCTTTTCACACATCTTAACAAACTGTTTACGAAACCGTCGTCGGAAACAGCATATCTAGGTCTCACTTTTTGATTCTGTTAAAACGAGACAAAAACTACATTGTGGCTTTTTGTCCTTTAATTTTTTCTTGCGACTTTCTGTAATACTTTTTTATTGATAAAAGAATCCAAAGAGTGCAAACATGTAAGGAGTACATAAACATCATTCATCTTTGGGTTATCATATTAAAGAAATACAAAACGATGATTTTAACCTATTTCCGATTGAGTAATGTAAAGTTTTTATTATTTGCATTCAATTTATTTGCAAAATTGTATCACTATATATATTTTGGTTTTCATAACTTTACACAATGGAGACAGGTACTGTCATACGCCCCTACTAATAAGTTGTAAATAGGGTGTTTACGGGACGATTGCAATTTGTTAAATGCAAGTAAGGTATTGTCACTTTACTATGGCATGAAATGTTCACGTGGTATGGTTTTCTATATAGTAGTTAACATTTTATGAATTGAAAGTAATGAAATATTGTTACTTTTGGATTTTGAGATAGTGTATAAGTTATTAGAAGTTAATCCTAGTTTTAAAGTATATTTTAATGAGGAATTAATGAACGGTTTACTTTAAGTTATTAGCTGTATCGAGAATGTCAAATATGGCGCAACTTGGTCGTGTGTTGCTCAAAACGTTACCGTTGGGTCTATATTCTAAGCGTGAACCCGAAAGTGTACACTTATGAGAATTGATATTCCTAAATTGGTTTAGTTACAATTTATTAGAATAAGCCGTAATTTGTATCTGTTTATTATAAAAAAAAAACGTCAACTCTACACAATCGAGTCAATACATACAACATGTATATGAAATGCAGTTAATCTTGGCATTTGTGAACTACAATAACAAGTAAAGAAAGACAACTCTTGACTCTTGACTTAAACAAAAAAAAGAGCTAACAAACAAATCTTATTTAGTAATATCAAAATTTTATATTTTCGATTATTTGGTTTAATTAACCTGCGTGATTGGCTTACAGTCATATATTGTATCGCCGATAGGTGGCACTAGCATATGATATTATGAAATTTGAATTCCTGAATCGGCATTTATTAAGCTGGCGACAAGGAGCCAAGTGCTGCCGGGAAAATTCAGGATAAACAAAAACCCACCCACACTCCCAAATTTAGAAAATGTTGCTGCTGGATTTGTTTTATATTCTGGCACCTGTTTGTTGTCTATTCGTTGCTATATTATTGTGACCAGAATCTACGCAGTTTCACCATTGTATTATACCAACAGAAGATAATTTGGATGTCAACTTGCTTTGCTATATATATGAAAAAAGAAATATCACAAAAATACTGAACTCCGACTTAGACAATCGCATCTAAGCTGTTCAACATCAAATTGACAATTGTGAATCAATCAAAAGGAAAGATTTTACCAGTTTGTATCTCATAAAGAAAAGTCTTCTTCTGTGAGTATTTTGCAGTTGATAAAAACATCGAAATGATTTTTGAATTTCAGTATATGCAAAATTACGGTTCTGATACTGATTTCAGGGTTAACAAAAAACCGAAATGTTATAGTCAGAAAGCAATACATTTTCTAGTTAAAGTTTTTGGCTCACATGCACTTGAAACGGAAGACTCATATTCATCACGGTGTTAATATTTTTCACCATATAAGGCAATATACGGTATACAATCGAAAATATGATATTGCAAGCGGGGCATGTTGTCTGTTAACACATAATATGTCGCACAGATATCATCTTCATATGTTAATGCATAACTTACATATATATACGTATTACATGTTTCTTGTTGATGAACAGAACACGTTGAAAATTAAGAAGTTGCAGAAAACATATATAGAACACATATCAGCAAAACTAAGATTTATTTGGAGACAAAATAAGTCTTACACATGTTCCCTATATTTCCGAGCTTGTTATTCCCTTATCCTTATATGGAGGGGTGAAAATCACTTAAATTAAACTGTGTAACGATATGCAGCTCGAAAGGTGTTATCATCAAACATTATTAAATATTGAACTCTTAAAGTGAATATATCATGTAGCTAACACAGATGTATCAACCGTTTTAGAGCAATTTATATAGATTTAAAATGTTTTGCCTCAAATGATATACATTTCATTTGAGATAATTGAACCCAAGTTATCTTGGTTATGAATAAAAATCCGTCGTTCTGCAAACAAACAAATACTTGGCGTTTTATCTCGAAAGGAACAAATTTGGCAGTTATAAATATGGGATAACAATATCAAAGTTTGCTTTTAGTCATAATTAATGTACATATTCTCTTTCAAATCAAAACAAATTTGTAGGTATATAAAACAAAGGGTTCCTGAACTGCAAATTACTTTCATGTAAACATATTTTGCCAAAGAAACGTCTCTTGTTGGAAAGTGCCTGTGGAAAATATTTCCGAGACTGTTAAGACTGTTACGTCTCTTTCATCTTTCAATAGTATTAAAACATTAGACTTATTTACCGCTTTAGGAAATGCAATAATACTATCCGCCATCCATTTCTTTTACACGATTGAATAAGTTTCAATAATTTGTAATTCTGAAAATGACATCGATCCTGTGTGTTGGAGCTTTGATGAATAATCAATACATGACATGAAACATGGGATTTTTTTGGTATAAAGTCTTGCCACAAGTATTTTTTTTTTGGCGGACTATAACCGACTAAATGAACTGTTCAAACACTGGGACGTTGTGCCTATGAGTAATTACGTATGCATTCTATTCTTTGTTTTATTTGTAAAAAATAGATAAAATATCACATTAAGATATCGTTACTGTAACAAAAAGGAATAATGGACCCGTATGTAAACAATTAAAGTTCACAGTGCGACCCACAAACAATCAAGGACCACGTCTATAAAAAGCCGTCGGACAAAATATGAAACGATTAAAATGAGAATATCGACGGCTTGGTTTATGCTGTATCATAAAACAATAAGCGAGTAACAAATAGGACTAACCAACAAAAGCAATTTAACAACAGGCCGCTGACTTCAAATAGGCACACACAGAATGTGTGTAACATATTTTTAATCGTGTGCCTTACCTTTAAATTCGGTAGATTCGGAAAAAAATATGTGTTACATCACAGGACGTTTGTGTTTTGGACACACATCAGGAATTATAGCATTTATAAATATTATGTATAAATATATGATACACAATATATACAATGGTATTTGATAGGTAAACGGTTATCTAGCAAGTTCTAGCGTGAAGGAATCCAACATGTCCAATTATTGTTATTATTATTTAATCCCAGTGCAAGATATCTATTGTATATGATACTGCACTTTACGATCTATGTTTATAATCAATAAAATATTTTGCTGACCCTTTCTGTTTATGTTCAACTCGATTAATTTGATGTATTTTGTAAGTATCACAAACTCGTGAAAACTGTTCTTGTCTGAACCGCTCCTTAACCCGGGACGATTGCGCATCAGTATAACACACTAATACGTTAAAAAGCTTGGACATGTCTAAACTCGTCAAATCTGCAAGAAGTACATGTTGTAGTTTTAAAGACGAAGGTTACTAAGAATCGGCCGAAAGGCTACTCGTAGTTACTGATAACTAGTATAAAACTATTCTCAAGTATTAAAAAACTGTTTTCCCAGACTAAAATATAGATCAAAACAAACCCAATGAATTCACTATAAAAGAGAGTCATAAACAGTTCGTGAAAATTTTCCATTTTTGAACTGATTGATTACATTTCTTGTCGAAATTGCAAAATACTTCATATCAACAGAAGATAAACATAAATTCGTTTTACTTGAAATATGTCGTACACTTTTGAGCTGTACATAAACATTTACACAAATATAAAGGAAACAAAAAAGAAACAAAACAAGTTTGTTTCGAATTTTTATGTCTTTTGAAATGATAATTGAGCAGATAGTCGGTACTCGAATGGGTACTAGCTGTGCAGCACTACTGGCTGACTTGTTTTTTTACTCATATGAAGCAGAATACCTATAAAACCTTCTTGAAAAAAAACCCATCTCGCAAAGTTCTTTGATTTGATATTAGATATATTTATGATGTTCTGTCACTTATTTTTATATGACGTTCTTCTTTTGCTATGGAAACAACAAAGCCATGTCTAATTGCAATAGAACATGGGCTGCACGTGATTGACGTCAAAATTGAAATTGTAAAGTCAGTTGTATTTTGAACAACGCTGGGGATCAAAATGGACATTTGTGTTGGTGTATCTCGCTAGGACATTAAATACAATCTTTTTAAAAGTAAGTTAACATGCACGTGTTAATTTTTTATCGTGAAACGGTAGATTTTCTGTATCGTTTGGCCTCATAAAATCATAAGGGCTGCCTTTCGAACGTGTTTTATAGGCCCGTTTCGAAGTACAAAAGTTCTTACTTTTTCTATTAGAATCGAAACGATTCTATCATACCATGCTCTATGCTCATTTTAACATGTGTAGGCATTATATCTGTCAACATTTTTCACCTCGCTAACCCTCAATATAATTAAAGACATTGACAAATATTGACAAATATAATGCCTTTACATGATAAAATGAGCGTAAAGCATGGCATGAAAGAATTATTTTTTTAAGTAATCCACGTTTCAATGAGTATACAAGAATAATTTCAAAGAATATCATTTCAATGCGTATACCTTTCATGTATTCAAGTGATCTTGAAATTAAAGATACTACCGAAAGTAGAAGGTCTCTATTATTTCATGATCTTGTTCTTGTTTTGAACATACATGAACATACATACATACATGAACAAGTTGCTACTTGATGTGGAGCTTTAGATTCCAGAATCTGATTATTAATTTTAAGAATTGTTTTCATTTTACGATTGTGAAACTTTTATTCAATGTGAATTTGTTTGATGGATGATAAAAGCATAGCCAGAAACAATTAGTTCTTTTGTGATCATGTCATTCCCTCAGTTTCTTGAAAACAGCTCGATTTAGAATAAAAGCTATAAAACACACATGCCAAACAATAAAAAAAACACCTTTAAATATACTGAGATTTGTACTGAGAAAAAAAGGAAGAACTGTTATTCTTGTATTGTATTGTTTTCTTTGGGTTTTTAGGAGGGGGTTTGCTATCTATACAAAAATAAGGATGATGTGATATGATTGTCAATGAGACTACTTTCAAAACGAATTAAAGTGACGTAGAAATTGACAATTAACAATAGGTTACCGTACAACCTTCTGAATGTAATGAAATGAAGAGAATAAAGACAATGCTCACAACATATTGAGCACGATTGGTTCTGATACAACAAAGGATTTATAACAACAGTTACGCAGCACATGATCAGTTATGACAAATACTAGACAGAAAGGTTATATTTCCCTGCTGAGAAAACGAGCAGACATTTGCAGCTGAACATGTTTTATTTTTCAGATGGCAACAGCTTACATTTAAACACGAAAGGATTATAGAGTAAATTTACATAATACAATATCCCATGTTAAAAAAGTAAAAATTTCTCTCACAGCTGAATATCAAATTAGAAGATAGAAGATGTGGTATGATTGATAATGAGACAACTTTCCACCAGAAACGAAATAACTTAGAAGTAGGAAACTAGCGGTCACCGTACAACCTTCAACAATGAGTAAATCCTTATCGTATAGCAAGCTATAAAAGGCTCTGAATTTACAGATGTAAAAAATACGAGAAAACTGACGGCTTAGTTTATGTAGTAAACAGTAAAAAAATAACAAATTCTAGCAACAAAAAAAAACCATTTATTTACAGGCTCATGCAGAATGTCCGTTTGTTTGGGGACGTTGGTTGTCTTTTGCGGTTGTAAAAAAGATTACTTGGTATTAAACATAGATTTTGTTATTGTTCTAAATGTAAATGTTGATGCATTCTAAATGATTGAGAGCATGCAGTAGATAACTTACTGTCAACTCATATTTTGAATACCACTCTGTCAATTACATATAATATAAACGCTTTTATTCCTATGGTTACCAAAGTATGTGAAGTGTAGATCAATCTAGACAGTAATAACCTTATAGACATCGTTTGTTGAACGTACGTTTCATACACCAAGTAAGTTTCCAAGCAATATTCTAATATCAAATCGTCTTACGTCTATAAAAAAAGAAGCGAATAAATCAAACATAGGCTTTCAAAGATCGGTTATCAACACAAAATATCCTGCAGGTCAAAACAATCAATTATGACTTAAGATTCACACTGACGACTCTTGTGACACCGGAAAGCTGCCTGAAAAAGAAGGAGAATGCAACTTAATATTGTTACAAATAAGGGTAAGGGTTAATGGTGATAAGTATATTTATGTAAAGCCAAGATTATTCTTTTCTTATTATCTAGATTGCACTTTTTCTGTTTTACTTTGCTCGCGGTCGCGGCCGTTACAGTCTGGATAATTTATTGTGTGACTGAGATTGTATGTACGAACACTGTTATATTTCAGGTATCGTGTCCGAATTACATTATTATTGTATGTATTTATTGTTATATTTATTGGGAATGATAAGATATAGAGTTCGTCTCACTGTTTGTCCAAAAGGGGGGGGGGGGGGGCGACATGTTCCCAGCTTTATTTCTCCCCGGGTTATCATTGTCAAGCTTTCTCACCTTTATAGTATATTTATATAAGGGATATATATTGTAACTGGGCATATCCTTTGTTAATGCAAAGCTTCCATCGTCCCCTTTTCCTTTTATTTCCTATACTTATCCTACGTTTACTGAAGGCCGCCATTTATTTACCTTGTGTGCGCATGTGCTTGCCGTGGGATAAAAAGACGACACACGACCTATAACCTATAACCAATCAATTACCGTAGAATGGCCCACTGATACCATGGGGATGTGGATTGTGGGCTCTTAGTATAAAAAGGGCGTCTTTCGTCTGCTCTGGTTCTAAGATTGCGACCCAATACCAGGGACTTATTGTACCTTAACCCTGTGCTTAAATACATGAGCAATACCACCCGCAATCCATACAAATCACCACCAGATTATTCTGAGTAGGTTTCCCCTTATAATATATAGACTGTCCTGTGTGACCTAGATTATTTTACTACGTCTAGACTGCATTTACAACCGAAATACCAAATACCATGATTGACGCTTGACGTTCCAAGGGGGGTCTCTGTACAGTTTATTGCTCTGGGGTTTTTACATTATATATTTGAATGAATTATTATCTATTTCAACATATTAAATGAATTGAGAGTTGATTTTGACTCTGTTATCCTTCATTGTGTTTCAAAGAAAACCAGTGCCTTTGTCATGCTACCAATGGTTAAAAACCAGTATTTGTATCTATAATACCAGTAGAAAGAAATATAAAACCTGATACCAAGGTTGTCCTATAACATGTATAATATTAATTTTGTCTTATAACAGTTTGAGGTCTACAGACCCGAACCGTAACATTTGGTGTCCGGCAGTGGGATCTCGAAAATTAAAACCATAATTGTGAGAGACTGTGAAAACTTAACCTTATAAAATAAATTTAAGGACCAAGTTAAATTTTATTGTTATAATATACTTACCAAATTTCATAAATAATTATAAATTGTATAATTAAAAACTGAAAATGAATCGGGGTGAGGGTTCAGAAGATGAAATTGAAAGTAGGAGTATTTCTCCACTTAGTGGAAGTTCAAGAGTTAGCACACCTGAGATACTTTTACCATCACAGGTCAGATTTCAGGGGGATAGTCTTTACCAGACATCTCAGTTCAATGAAATTAAAATACAAGTTGACAAAATGACCAGTCAGGTGAATGTTAATACCAAAAACATACAAATGTTTAAACAGATATTGGAAATCTTGACAATAAGATGGAATACCAGATGACACATATTGATAATAGACACTACAAACCAGTAAAAGTCTGAAATGGCCTATATCTGTACTCGACTGTACTGATTTTTACTCGACCAGTCTGAATTGGTCTGAAATTTACTTAATAATACTCGACTGTAGTCTGAACCATACTTAACAGTCTGAACTTGTACTTGACCCTTACTGGACCAGTACTTAACCATTGTATACGTGTCTGAACCATGCTCGACCTAGTCTGAACCATGCTCGACTTAGTCTGAACCATACTCGACCTAGTCTGAACCATACTCGACATAGTCTGAACCATACTCGACCAAGTCTTAACCAACCTAGACCTATTTTTTGTATCTATCTATTGTATTTCATCAATTTAGGAACTGTTTTTAACAACAGCTATTTCCCCTGGCTAGAAATTTGAACAACAATTTGAAATTAAAAATGTATTCAATATAGCATTGAAACCAAAATTTCACAATAAACATAATATAACTTCGTCACCATATTCATCAACACTTATATACATACATATATATCACCTTTAAAATTAAAATAAAACAAGCTGATCAAATAATCTCAAAACTGAATTGTGACTAATATTTTCAATG